CTGGTGCGGTTGCCCAGGGCAGAGCGGCACTTCCGGCCGCCGGGAAGCGAGCGTATTTGTGACTCTCTGCGCGCTTCTCGGAACAGCAGAGTGTGGAGTGGGAAAGCCGGCGTGGGCACGGCCGTCCCCCGAGCGACCCAGCCCCGAAGCCCTAGGCACTCCCTTCCCTGCCGTCTTGGCCTCTGCCCAGGGGACACTGCCCGGGCCAGGCAGGAACCCCCCGTGGCCTGCCAGCCTCTGCCCGGACAGACGCGCGGAGCATGTGCCCCAGGGGACGGGCCAGCGGGCTCCCGGGAGCCAGACCCGTCCAGCCAGCGCCCCGCACAGCTTCCCCTAGCCCCCAGCCTGAGCCTCGTGTCCCCCCATTTCCACCAACAGAAAACCACTGCACGCTCCCTGCACAACAGGCTTCCAAACGGTCTGCGACGGGCAGAGCCCCCACGTGCCCCCCAGCCCTGGCCCGGGTTACGGAGCCGAGCTCAGGTGTGCCGGGCGGGGAGAGTGACGCTGACCCTCGAGGAAACGGACACAGGGATGGGTGGACCCTGTCTGCCCCAAGGGTGCCCCTGAGGCCCAGGCCGCTCCCCACAGGCAGCCGTGAGCGTGAGCTGACACCACAGCCCGGGCACTCGGGCAGCTACTGGAAGCAAAGACCCTTCACTTCCTTCCTCCTCATCCAAGCTGTCCGCTCCCGGGAATGGCCCCGGGGCTCGGTGAGGCGGGCAGTGGCAGAGCAGGGCCCCAGCTGCTCCCCGACCCCCCTGCTCCCCAATCACATAGCCGGCGGCGCTGGGGCTCAGCCGCCTTTCCATCGGGCACAGGAGTGAGTCAGACGCGCGAATGTGCCGCGGGCGTCCAGATCTCACTGCTGGCTCCAGACGGAAACGTGTCGAAAGCAGATCTGAATACGCACAGCATCTGGGGACACGGTGGGACCCTGCTCAGGGTTCTGGGGGGCCGGCGGGGTTCTGTGCAGGTGCAGGGAGTGTGGGATGACCCAGCACCGGAGGCCCCCTTCTCTCTGCCCCTGACATCCCTCCGTCTCCTGGGAGATGAAGTGTCACATGGCAGCCCCATTCCCGGAGTCCGAAGGCCTGGATCCACCAGGACACGGGGGGCAAACCAGGGACTAACTGCACCCCCCCCCCAGCCCTCTGGCAGCAGCATCGCTGATCGATCGATCGCGGTGGCCTCTGTGGCCTCTGGCATCGCGCTCCAGGCGCAAGGCAGATCGGTGGACCCCGGTGAGAAAAGCGGCCGGCTTCCTGGGGCGCTCTGGGCACCTGCTGCCCAGAGGTGGGGTCAGTAGGTGGTCAAGCTTCCGCCCCTGGCTGGGGTCCAGGGTGAGGGTGGGGCACACACCCAGATGGCAAGACACGAGGGAAAGCCAAGCCTCCCCTGGATTCACAAAGGAGGGGTCAGGGAAGGCCTCGGGATTGGGGGGCAGGTGGTTACCCAGGTTTCCTCCAGTCAGTGACGGCAACCGCCCACAAGATGGGCACCAAGGCTCAGAGAGGGGGAGACAGTGGCCCCAGGAGACCAGCCAGGAAGTGGCAGAGCCAGCCTGGAGCCAGGACTGCTCCCAAGGGGGCCACGTGGGGAAGCAGCCCGCCAGGACAAGCGGCACCCTCCCACCCTCCAGGACCGAGGGGGGCTGCGTGCTGCCTGCTGCGTGTTGTGGCTGTGGGCATCCCGA